TTGTTGTTTTGGCGGGTCCGGGCTGGGGATTCGAACCCGCCACCTTAGGTGTACGTGGCTGGCGCCTTAGCCCGTTGAGCTATAGGCGCCGAGCCCTTACTGAGTATCTTTACAAAAAAAGTTACTAGATTTTTAAAAAACCCACAAAAAAACTACTAATTCAATCTCAGTATGTACATCTGACATTCAATCTTTTCTCTTTAAAAACTTTTTTGAGATTAATATGTGCACATAACTGAAATAAAATTGCACATAAAGGTTTATAGTGCAATCTACACTGGGCATGGTGGCTCATGCCTGTAATCCCAGCACTCTGGAAGCCTGAGGTGGGTGGACTGCTTGAGCTCATGAGTTCCAGACCAGCCTGAGCAAGAGTGAGACCTCATCTCTAAAAATAGCTGGGCATTGTGGTGGGCGCCTGTAGGCCCAGCTACTCAGGAGGCTGAGGTAAGAGGATCTCTTAAGCCACTCTGTGATTAGAATTTTTCATGATACAAAGTTGGAAAACAATTCACCTATGTTTGTGCCCCTCACTCTTTTTACAGATTTTTGTTCTAAGTCCCAACTGTTTTTAGAATGGCATTTTTAGGAAAGGCCTCAGCACAACAAACTTCTACTAAAACAGTGAAATGTCAGCTCGGCGCCTGTGGCTCAAGTGGCTAACACGCCAGCCACATACACCTAAGGTGGTGGGTTCGAAGTCTGGGCCCATCAAACAACAATGATGGCTGCAACCGAAATAAAAAAGCCAGGTGTCGTGGCGGGTGCCTGTGGTCCCAGCTACTTGGGAGGTGGAGGCAGGAGACTCACTTGAGCCCAGGAGTTGGAGGTTGCTGTGAGCTATGCCACGGCACTCTACCCAGGGGGACAGTTTGAAGCTCTGTCTCAAAACAAAACAAAACAGCGAAATGTCTTTGTAATGGAAAGAATTAAAAAAAAGTAAAAAATGCAAATCTTGGGAGTCCATGCTAATCAGATTTTATTTGTTTAGGTCACAGCAATTCAGCAACTGCAAGAGAAGATAACCCATTATTCTGCTTCCAGATTGTATGGTGATTATCAGTGTTTGAGAATGCACATATACTGAGGAGGGGAAAGGTTATATGATAAATACATCTATTGCTAAAATACTTTTCATTTTTTACCTAGACTACCCAGCACACAGAAATAATCCACCCCCCGCTTTCTCCCTTTCTCTAATAGATCCTGAATCCTTATTTATTTGAGACAGAGTATTACTGTTGCCGTGGGTAGAATGCCATGGCATCATCATAGCTCCCGGAAACCTCAAACTCTTGGGCTGGAGTGATCCTCCTGCCTCAGTCTCTCTAGTAGTGGGGACTACAGGTGCCCACCATGATAAATAGCCAGTTTTTCTATTTTTAGTAGAGATGGAGCCTCACTTTTGCTCAGGCTGGTCCTGACCTCCTAAGCTCACCACCTGGGCCTCCCAGAGTGTCAGAATTACAGGCACGAGACACTGCACCCAGCCAAAAATTCCTTTTTTCTTTTTTTTGAGACAGAGCCTCAAGCTGTCATCCTGGGTAGAGTGCCATGGCCTCACAGCTCACAGCAACCTCCAACTCCAGTGCTGAAATGATTCTCCTGCCTCTGCCTCCCGAGTAGCTGGGATTACAGGTGCCCGCCACAACACCTGGCTATTTTTGGTTGCAGCCATCATTATTGTCTGGCGGGCCCGGCTGGATTTGAACCCACCAGCTCAGGTGTATGTGGCTGGTCTCTTAGCTGCTTGAGCCATAGGTGCAGAGCCCAAAAATTCCCTTTTAAATTATACATTTTCTTTTGAGTATTTGAGGGTTAAAATTACTTACATTCACTGCAAAACATCCTGTTTCAAATGCTGCAAGGGAAAACATTCTGGGCTGTCTGGTTTCCTTACTATTTTATACTTTATGCTTATATATTCTGATTCTTTCTGGGAATCCGAAGCACCTTCTTGAACAACATACCCAGCAACTAGAAGTTTCTATCTTAGCTCACAAACTTGATAAATACCCTGAGCCCTTTTATCAGGAACTTGTATCAGGTCTGCTGTGTGATACTGAGGAGGTCAAGGCTTTACTGTGTCTGAGTTTCTTTATATTTAAAACAGTAATAACTAGCCTACCTGGGATGAAAGATGGAGGAAGGCTGACAGGGACCAATGATAACATGCAAAAAGGATTTAAAATGTAAATCATAGACCACTACAGCCCAAAGGCAAAATTGAGTTGCTGTTTGTTTTTGTGATAGTTTTATTGGAATACAGCCACTCTATGTTTGCATATGGTCTCCAGCTGCTTTTGCACTAAAGTTGAGTACTGTAGTCACTGCAGACCATATGGACTACAGAAACAAAGTATTTACTATATGGCTCTGTACATAAAATGAATTGCTGACCCCAGCTCTAGACTACAATGAGCTCTCCACAGCCCACAAGTTGTGGGTTATATGTGTTGATTGATCAATCTCAAAGTCAGAAAGGACCTTTGGAGAACTTGGGAGTTGAGTGTGATAACTATATGGATCAAACTTGTGGCTGAGAAGGGTAAAATGATGTCAAAGGTCACACACATTTGACATTGTCTTCTGGAACACAGCACTGCTACTACCAGCCAAAAAAACTAAGGGAGGTGGGACAGAAGATGAGGATACTGAAGCCTTGGGGCCCAGTCTCAAGTTTAAATGGCTGGCATTCTGTCACCAACTTGTGAAAGGTGGACAGAGAGCACCTCATAACTGAAACTTATGCGTGCCTGGAATGATTTAGAACTCCTCCATCACCCTAGTCCACTGCAGGAGCTGAAAAAGGGGGTGATGGAGGTGGCTTGAGTGTGCAAGATACTTTCAGGAACTTGCATCATTCCATTTGATTTTCACAAATACTATATGGTACAGATTCTGTCCCCACGTAAAACTGTATATGCTGGGGCTTAAGAGAAGTTAATTGCCTTGCTCAAGGTCACACACCTTCACACGAGGTGAAGCTAGGTCTGTCTGACCCGGAAACTTGTGGTTTTAGTATCATATTACATGGCAAGCCCCTTGGTAACAGTCCTGATGAGGGCATATAGCTTGGTAAGGAGGCCTGAGCTGGGGTTCAAATCCTGCTTGTCAGACCCTAGGGTTTGCGAGGAGAGTACAGAACTGCATTATCCAAGTTCGAACTTCCAAGAGCAAGTTTCCTGCTCTGAAGTTTTTCAGCCTTGTCTCATGTCTCTGCGCACAATAAAGTTCTGAAGAGCTGGGTAGGACTCCTGTCTCGTTCCTCCAGGGCACGCCAGTGTAGATTCGGTACCCTGGGCGGAGATGGGCGGTCCTTAGCTGCCCCTTGAATCCCACCCTGGGCAGCGATAGGCTCATCAGGCAGCACCAGGGGCTCTGCACAGGCTACCACCAGCCCTCCGGGCTCCACCTACCTGTCGCGGGGCTGTCAGGGTCCCATCCACGTCAAAGAGGCAGAGCACTGGGCCCGGCGCCGCCATGACCCCGGTTTCCGCCAGCATCTGTCTAAACGTACTAGTTGGCACCAGGAAACCCGGCCCGGAAGTTCCGGGTTCAGCCCCTACAGCATAAGACACGTTGGGAGAGAATCCGCTCCCATAATGCCTGGGAATAGCGCCAGCTACTGCCTCTGGACCACAACTCCCAGAGTGCAACGCGCACTGCACACGCGTGTCGTACACCCGAGCATGCGCCCTTGGAGGTTTCGGGGGCAACCGGGATTTACTTCCCGCAGCCGGCGGCTGGGCCATGGTAAGAAAGCGGGCGGTGGTCCTAGAGAGCGTGACGCGTTGGAAGTCAGGTGGGGTTGGGGTCGGGGCTGGGGCAGGCAGACAGGACGCATAGGGTCTAACTTGGAGAATCCACGAGAGGAAGCTCACTCGCGAGTTAGAGTTTGCTATTCCCTATCCTCCCTCAAGGCCCATGGGCCGGTAATCGTGATGGCTGCAACTCGCTCTGCCCTCGCTGTGCTTCAAGTACTAAGTTGAGGGCTTTTATTTATTTTTATATATTTTTTCAGACGGAGTCTCACTTTGTCGCCCTCGGTACAGTGCTGTGGCGTCACAGCTCACGGCAACCTCAAACTCTTGGGCTCAGGTAATCCTCTCGCCCCGGCCTCCCAGACTACTGGGATGACAGGCGTGAGGCATCGCGCCCGGCCTAAGTTGAGGACTTTAAAACCATCGTCTCGTTCAGTATCTTTTGAGTTTCCTTTTTTTTTTTTTTTT